GAGAGGGAACGGCCTCGAGCTGTGCCAGGGGAGGCTCAGGGGGGGAATTTGGGGAAATTCCTCCTGGAAAAGGGAAAAAAACCTGCCCGGGGAGGATTGGATCCCCATCCCTGGGGAATTCCTGGAATTTTGGGGATGGATCCCCAAAATCTGGGGATTTCAAAGAATTGTGGGAATTCCAAAAATCTGGGTATTTTAGGAAATCCCAGAAATTTTAGAAAATCATTGAATTCAAAACAATTCTGTTAATTCCAAACAATTCTGCCAATTCCAAACAATTCTGTGAATTCCAAAAAAAATCTGTGAATTCCAAACAATCCTGTGAATTCCATAAAATTTTGTGAATTCCAAACAATTCTGCAAATTCTGTGAATTACAAACAATTCCGTGAATTCCAAACAATTCTGTGAATTCCAAACAGTTCTGTGAATTCCAAACAATTCTGCAAATTCCAAACAATTCTGCGAATTCCAAACAATCCTGTGAATTCCAAACAATTCTGTGAATTCCAAAAAAAAATCTGTGAATTCCAAACAATCCTGTGAATTCCAAACAATCCTGCAAATTCTGCAAATTCCAAACAATTCTTTGAATTCCAAACAGTCCTGTGAATTCCATACAATTCTGCAAATTCTGTGAATCCCAAACAATTCTGCGAATCCCAAACAATTCTGCGAATCCCAAACAATTCTGCGAATCCCAAACAATTCTGTGAATTCCAAACAATTCTGCGAATCCCAAACAATTCTGCGAATCCCAAACAATTCTTCGAATTCCATAAAATTCTGTGAATTCCAAACATTTCTGTGAATTCTTTGGATTCCAAACAATTCTGTGAATTCCATAAAATTCTATGAATCCCAACCAATTCTACAAATTCCACAAAATTCCTGTGAATTCCCCAAACCCCTGGAAATGGCACCATTTTCCAGGCGTGGGCGTGGAAGGAGAACATTCTGGAAGCGGGGACGCTGGAGCGCTACACGGTGGAGAGGAGCACCACGGCCAGCGGGGTCCTGTCCACGCTGACCATCAACAACGTCATGGAGGCCGATTTCCAGACGCGCTACAACTGCACCGCCTGGAACAGCTTCGGGCCCGGGACGGCAATTATACAGCTCGAGGAGAGAGGTGACATTGGGGACAGCTTGGGGACAGCGGGGACAATGGGAATGGAGACAGAGAATGGGGACATTGGGGACAATGGGGACAGCGGGAATGGGGTATGGGAAAACACGGCCTGGAACAGCTTCGGGCCCGGGACGGCGATTATACAGCTGGAGGAGAGAGGTGACAGTGGGGACATTGGGGCAATGGGGACATTGGGGACATTGGGGACATTGGGGACAATGGGGACAGCGGGGATATCAGAGATACTGGGGACATTGGGAATGGGAATGGGAAAACACAGCCTGGAACAGCTTCGGACCCGGGACGGCGATTATACAGCTCGAGGAGAGAGGTGACAGCTCTGGGGACATTGGGGACAGCGGGGACATTGGGGACATCAGAGATACTGGGGGTATTGGGGACCTCAGGGACATAGGGGATATGGGGAATGGGAATGGGAAAACATGGCCTGGAACAGCTTCGGGCCCGGGACGGCCATCATACAGCTCGAGGAGAGAGGTGACAGTGGGGACATTGGGGACACTGGGGACATTGGGGACACTGGGGATAGAGAATGGGGAATGGGGATACCGGGAATGGGAATGGGGAACACAGCCTGGAACAGCTTCGGACCGGGGACGGTGATCATACAGCTCGAGGAGAGAGGTGACACCTTGGGGACATTGGGGACACTGTGGGGACACTGCGGGCACACCGGGAATGGGGAATGGGGACAGTGGGAATGGGGACAGTGACAGCTGGGAATGGGAAACATCGCCTGGAACAGCTTCGGACCCGGGACGGCGATCATACAGCTGGAGGAGAGAGGTGACACCTTGGGGACAATGGGGACAATGGGGACATTGGGGACATTGGGAACAGCTGGGGATATTGGGGACGGGGAAGGAGAGGTGGAGAATGGGGCAGGGAACAGGGGATGGGGAGGTGACCAGGGGGACAGAGGGAACAGAGAAGTGACCAGGGGGACAGAGGGGACAGGGAGGTGACACCCTGGTCCCCAATGGCGCCGTGTCCCCGCAGAGGTGCTGCCCGTGGGCATCATCGCCGGGGCCACCATCGGGGCCAGCGTCCTGCTCGTCGGGGGCCTGGTGGCCCTGGCCTGCTTCCTGTACCGGCGGCGCAAGGGAAGTGAGTGACCGGGGACACGGGGACAGGGAGGGGACAGGGGAGGGGACAGGAGCCCTGTGGCCACCAATGGTCACTCCATGGCCACCCTGTGACCACCTCATGGTCACCCTGTGGTCATGGTCACCCAATGATCAATCACTCCATGGCCACCCTGTGGTCACCCCTTGGTCATGGTCACCCCATGGTCACCCAATGATCAATCATGCTGTGGTCACCCCATGTCCACCCTGTGGTCACCCCATGGTCATGGCCACCCCTTGGTCACCCTATGGCCACCCCATGGTCACTCCATGATCACCCCTTGGTCATGGTCACTCCATGGTCACCCAATGATCAATCATGCTGTGGTCACCCCATGTCCACCCTGTGGTCACCCCATCGTCATGGTCACTCCATGGTCACCCCATGTCCACCCCGTGGTCACTCCATGGTCACCCTATGGTCACCCCTTGGTCATGGCCACCCCATGGCCACCCCATGGTCACCCCTTGATCAACCCATGGTCATGGCCACCTCATGGTCACCCCATGTCCACCCCGTGGTCACTCCATGTTGAATCACCCCGTGGTCACTCCACAATCACTCCATGGTCACCCCGGCCACCCCATGGCCACCCCATGGTCACCCAATGATCAATCACCCCATGGTCACCCCTTGGTCACTCACCCCACGGTCACCCTGTGGCCACCCCGTGGTCACCGCTTGGTCACCCCACGATCTTCCATGGTCATGGTCACCCCATGGTCACCCCTGTCCCCCCGTCTGTCCCCAGGCCGCAAGGACGTGACGCTGCGCAAGCTGGACATCAAAGTGGAGACGGTGAACCGGGAACCGCTGACGCTGCACGGGGAGCGCGACGATGACACGGCCAGCGTGTCCACGGCCACCCGGGTCATGAAAGCCATCTACTCGGTATGGGGACACGGGGACAGCCTGGGGACATGGGGACAGCCTGGGGACAGGGCCAGCGTGTCCACTGCCACCCGGGTCATGAAAGCCATCTACTCGGTATGGGGACATGGGGACATGGGGACAGGGACAGCGTGTCCACTGCCACCCGGGTCATGAAAGCCATCTACTCGGTATGGGGACATGGGGACAGCCTGGGGACA